GTTGCTTAGGAGAAGTCTCAGCAGTCGGTAGAGCCCCAGAAAGAGAAGGCACCGGAGGGGGATCATTCGGAGCCTCAGTACTGGACAGAACCCTAGAAGGAGGAGGCATCAGAGGTTGATCATTTGGAGCTTCATTAAGCGGTACAGCCCCAGAAGACGAAGGCAATAAATGCCTTTGGAACAAACCCACAAATCTTTGATGATCAAGTAAAACCTGACCATCAGATTCCTTCATCTGGTCAAGCTTCCTCTTCATGTTTGTAGCATAGTCATGTGCGAGCCGGTGCAACTGTTTATTCTCATGCTTGAGCCCTCTAATCTCCTGTTTGAGACTCATCACTTCAGCCGCCAATGATTCAACTTGGCGGGTTCGAGCAAATAGGCGTTGGGCCATATTAGACACAGAACCTGCACACTGAACACTGAGAGCCAGAGAATCCTTAACAGCCAACTCATCAGACTGTTTGGAAAGTAGTCTGTTATCTTTGGGAGTGAGAAGGTTCCTGGCCACTACCGCAGCGGTCATATCATTCTTCATCACGGAATCCCCAACGGTAAGAGGACCAGTAGGGGAGACGAAGGATGGGCGCCATATGTTGTCTGGAGAAGGCGAGGCTGCCTCTTCAACAAGGTTCAAGTCAAAACGACGGTCGGAGGGGCCAAACATTTTCAAAGGTGTTGAAGAGAGAAGAGGTCGGACAAATCAAGATCTTAGAAGTGCAAGAATGGAGCTTCTACTGGTGGATATTCAAGTGTGCTTTGGAACTTAATGTCAGCCCCTATAAAAATCTGCACTCGACGAAGCTTCAGAAATCGAAGAGGCGCCTGCTCAGAAATCGAAGAGGCGTTTGCTTTCTCAAAAGCTGGGCTGCTCAGAGACCATGAGGGTCGATCTCAGAAATCGAAGAGGTGTTTGCTTTCTCAAAAGCTGGGCTGCTCAAAGACCACGAAGGCCGATCTCAGAAATCGAAGAGGCTTGCTTTCTCAAAAGCTGGGCTGCTCAGAGACCACGAGGGCCAATCTCAGAAATCGAAGAGGCACCTACTTTTCCAGCCTTGTCAGTACCTGTCACACGCACACTCAGCTTTGCGGAAATTATGGGCATTCTGTCGAAGATTTCTGGCGAAGTAGAAAGCACATGAATCGTACTGTTCAATCACCCACTTCCCACACGCAACAGTAGCTCATGGGTACCACAGATAACTTTGCCAAAGTTCTCTGACAAAGTTGAGACACGTGAAGCTTGCAGCTCCCACTACATCGCTCTGACCAAGAAGGGTAAAAGAATAGCAAAGAAACAACACTAACAAAGTTTAGACACATAAATTTTGAAGGTCTAGCTACCATATTATTACCCACAAGGGTAAAGGAATAGTACCACTGCTGGATAATTGGAAAGTCCCGGTGTGTCAACCTCTAGCAAACATGCCCAACCTTTACTCACATTCGAGAAAACACTCCCAACAAGATTGCTTGCTCCAAAATCGAAGAGGCACCGCCCTCCGAATCTCGAGAGCCAGACTCCCAACATGATTACTTTCTAAAAAATCGAAGAGAGGGTAAAGGAACAGTACCACTGCTAGATAATTGGAAAGTCCCTGTGTGTCAACCTCTGTGCTTCGTGGCAAGGTAGACTAGCAAACATGCCCAACCTTTACTCACGTTCGAGAAAACACTCCCAACAAGATTGCTTGCTCCAAAATCAAAGAGGCACCGCCCTCCGAATCTCGAGAGCCAGACTCCCAACATGATTACTTTCTCAAAAATCGAAGAGACACCGCTCTCCGAATCTCGAGAGCCAGACCCCCAGCAAGATTGCTTTCTCAAAAATCGAAGAGGTATCGTTCTCCGAATCTAGAGAGCTAGATCCCCGATAGGATTGCTTGTTCAAAAACCGAAGAGGCACCACTTTCCCAACTTCAAGAGCTGGATCTCCTTGGATAAAGCTTGTCTGTAATCTTCACACGCAACATCAGCTTTCCAGATACTACAGACCACTTTTTCAAAGTGCTCTGACAGAGTTAAAACATGTGAAGCTGGCAGCTCCCACTACCGTGCTATGACCAAGCAGGGTAAAGGAATAGCATTATTACTTGATGTTAGGGAGACTCCTATATATGTCGACCTCCATCCCCAACGGACAGGCAGACCTGCAAAAATGCTCAACCCTTCCTCTTATCTGAGAGGGCACTCCCAACGAAGCCTTTCGAAATATTCAGCTTTCTTTCCCCCCGATAACACCTCTGTAAACAAGCTATACTAGAGCAAGAATATCTCATATCATCAGGGTTAAAAGCAAGAGTATCCCATATCATGCTTTTTCCCTGTCTTTTCCTTTGGCCTTGTTCTTACCTGCAAGACAAGGAGAATGAGAGCAATCAGTCAGCACTTGGAATCAAGCTTCCAGCCAGGAACTGACTGCCTGGAACCCCTTACCTGATTACTTACCTGACATTGCTCTCGAGTACTCATCTTCAACATCTTATGCTTCCAGGGAAGATACCGCATCTGCCTGAGGAACAGATAGGGCAAGTGAGAAGGATACAAGGAAGCATGTGGAGAGACAAGCGTAACAGCACACGTGCCGATACATCCACTACTCTGTCAAAAGCAAAAGTATCCCATATCAGCAGGGTCGAACGTACTCTAGATTTGATGGACTTGTTTTGACCCTCAAATTCTTCAGTCGGCCTTATACTCTGGAGGAAACCAGAAAACCCTCCAGCCCAGTTCAAGAATAAGCCTGTGGAAAGTTACTTCTTCAAAAGCAAAAGTATCCCATATCATCTTTTCTCATTTTTCTTCTCTTTATCCTTCATGCTGCCTGCAAGATAGGGAGAATGTGAACAATCAGCCGGAGCTCTGATTGCTTACCTTGTCTGTCACCTCTTTCAGCAGATCCCCTAGCTCGGCGACTTGGGGGACTCCTACTACATGGTTTGTATCGCGCTTGACCAAGCCTGAAACTACAAGTAAGCTTCAAGTGAAATTGATACATTACCTTGTGCATCTCCACCAGTTACAGATACCACCCCTGGATGGAGGAAGAGTACCTATGAGACAGATAAGGCAAGTCAAGACGATACCACACTCCGGTACTTAGAAGTTTCGTGGTTACGAGATCATTCTCCCACAATATTTCCTAATGTCATTTGTACTAAATCATTCACTTGTACTCACTAAAGGAGAGCTTGAACCTATGTACTTGTGTAAACCCTTCACAATTAATGAGAACTCATCTATTCCGTGGACGTAGCCAATCTGGGTGAACCACGTACATCTTATGTTTGCTTTCCTATCTCTATCCATTTATATACTTATCCACACTAATGACCGGAGCAATCTAGCGAAGATCACAAAAAGTGACCGTTTTCGCTACCTAGGATCTATCTTGCAAGAGAACGGAGACTTAGATGGAGATCTCAACCATAGAATACAAGCTGGATTGATGAAGTGTAAGAGTGCATCCGGCGTGTTTGTGTGACCGTCGTAGGCCACTGAAGCTCAAGGGAAAATTTTATAGGACGGCAATAAGGCCGCGATGTTGTATGACACAGAATGTTGGGCGGTGAAGCATCAACACGTACACAAAATGGGTGTAGCGGAGATGAGGATGCTTCGTGGGAGGTATGGGCACACGAGAAAGGATAAGATTGAGAATGAGGATATCCGAGGTAAAGTAGGAGTAGCCAAAATTGAAGGAAATATGAGAGAAAATCGGTTCCGGTGGTTTGGACATGTGCAAAGAAGGCCTACTGACGCTCCGGTTCGAAAATGTGACTACGGGACAGAGGTTCAGGGCCGAAGGGGTAGAGGAAGACCTAGGAAAACTTTGGAATAGACCCTAGGAAAAGACTTGAGTACTTGGATCTAACGGAGGACATGATACAAAACCGAGCGCAATGGCGTTCTAGGATTCATATAGCCGACCCCACTTAGTGGGAAAAGGCTTTGTTGTTGTTGTTGTATTAGGTATGAAAGTGTGCCATGCTGAAAGTATGTTGGATTCATTGTGGAGCTAAAGTCATTTTAAAAGATTGGCCGGGAGAAACCATAAATTCTATGTGGTTTGCTACATAATTATGAGTACAGTGTACAGAGCATGTCTAATTTTCACCAGACGATATCAGACGGTTCTTTAGTTAGACTAATTTCATGCTGCTTGACTAAAGACTTGGGAAGAAAGAAGATTAAAAATGATCTCAAAACAATCTTTTCATTGCATTTGTTGACTAAGAAGTATTGCAACAATTTACGGATGTTTGATTTCCAGGTTTAAACACCAAGCTATATACTAGAGTTTTAGGATTCAAGTTTACGAATTGGTGATTTCATCTAGTTGCTCCAACTTTTTAATGTGTAATTTTGACATTTCTGTTAGTTTGATAGTCTTCTAATTAGTAGTCTCCATTCTTATGCTCTTAAAATTTGGTCTTCTAATCAGTAGTCTTGATGAGGTCATGTTTGGCATTCAATTTTCTAATTTTATGTAGCTTTTAAATGTTCTTGATGCTGAAAGTATGTTGGGATCCCTGTGGAGCTAAAGTCTTTGTAATACAAGCTGGGAGAAATCATAAATTGTCTGTGGTTTCACTACAGTGTACAGACCATATCTAATTTTCACCAGACAGGGTCAGACCTTTAGTGAGACTATTATCATGCTGCTTGACAAGAGTTGAGAAGTCGTACGGTGGAGACGTAGGAAGAAAGAAGATTGGAGATGATTTCAAATTTCAAAACAATATTTTCATTGCATCCATGCACCATTCCAGCAGCCCTTAGAAGCACGGAAACAATCTAGGGCAGTCTGATTTCCGGCTTTATACACCAAGCTATCTATGAGAGTTTTAGGAATTTGTGTTTATGACTTCATGATGTTATCAAGTTGCTGCAACTTTTTAATGTGTAATATTGCCATTTGTTGCTGGTAATTTCTGTTAGTTTGATAGTCTTCTAATCAGTAGTCTCCATGCTTATGCCCTTGAAATTTGGTTTTCCAGATGGTTGTCTGGCTCAGACTTGAAAAAGGTGGCCCTCCTCGGTTGCCCTTCCCTTGCAAGAAAGAGCGTTTTTGGGGCTAAAAGAATGCGTAAATTTTTTGAAATTCCAGAAGACAAGGTTAGCCAATTGTCCTATTATTCTTTCCCTCTTCTGGTGTATTTCAGCTCAATTAATTGTGCTTTTGTGTTTTGGCCACGTTCAGGTTTGCAGTAAATGTGTCTTGAAACAGTCGTGCAAGTTTGCAAATCAGAATGTGTGGAACGGAGGCGCCAAGAATCTGGATCTTAGAGATGTAATGAATACTATCACATTATATGCTCTGGATGCTGTACCTCCAGAGCTGGTTGTCCCTGACGAAGTAAAGTCTTCTGTTAGTCGACTGCTAAAGGAGGTTTTGAAGCTAAGTGAAGTTACATTGTGAGGCTAATTTCAGATCTGCAGAACATGTTCCAGGTAATTTGAGGCTCATTGTCTTTGGTAATTGCTTCCTTCTTGTGCCATTTCGATTACTTTTGTTCTGAACCCTTTTCTTTTTATATAGCGAGGATTCAGGTGCGACGCTTTTGAAAGATCCAACCCTCCCTGGAGTTCGATATGCATGCTTGATGTTCTATTTGCTTGTCCTGATCAATGCTCAACCCGATGCCAAGGAATTCAAGTGATGTTCAAGAATAGTGCACATCTCCAACTCCAAGGTGACTTGCAACATTCTGTTGAAAGCGTAATTTAGCTTCCCCGTATGAATGTGAAACTGTTTTAGATGTTCCGTAAATGCTTAACTCATTCTTAACTCCGTTAACCTAATCCCCGTATAAAGAGTTACATTCTTTTCGGTTTTGCTGGTTTTTTTATTTTGTTCATCCGTTTTCCATCATTGATGGACTGGACACCATGATTTTCTTGTTTCCATCTGGGGCATCCAAAAATCTTCTTGCTTGCTTCATTTGGTCATCAGCATGTGCTGATATCTCGAATCCGACCGACCATTTATTCTGTTCAGAAACAGCAGTTGAGTTGTAGGCAGGCAAAACAAATTGCATATATCTAAACAGAATCATAGAATAACATAGAAAAAAAAAACCCAGTTCCCTTGATACAAGCGGTATTATAAATAAGGAATCGAACTCGAGACGTGGTGCAATAGCGGACATGTGATGTTGACATGTGCATTTTAATTTAATTTATGCTGCCTGACCAATTTGAGCATAAGATCAAAGTATTTAATTGTGTGAATATCTGTGATTTTGTTCGTCAAAATGCTTTTTTTAATAACGAGAACTAGTGAAGTCGGCAGCATAATCTTTTGAATAGATTTGTACTTTTTGAGGGATTTTATAAGCATAACTGTGCAAGGTTGATGTCGGTTGTGACCGGACTTTCTCTTGTTTATATTAAACGTGCACGTTTAAGTTACACATCTGAATATATTTTAAAACAAGTTGCATATTTGATAAGAGGAGTTAGATTATTTAACCTAACGACTAACAGGATTTGACGGCTATTGTTTAAAAGTGTAATTTAAGGCATGGTTTGATAGGAAGGAGTGACTTGGATAAAGCTATTCCCTATAGTGAAAACATTGTGGAGGAAGAAATAGATGACAACTTCCTTATTTTGTTTAAATTGAAGGTTAGTCATGAAGAAAATATATCTGTATTAATTCCTTTAAAAATGGTAGGATTAAAAGGATGACTTTACTTAATGAGTAACTTTCAACTTGAACAAAATAAGGTAGTTGTCATCCATTTCTTTCGTCAAAATGTCTTCAATATAATGAATAGTGATATCTAAGTCGATCATCTTTATCAAACGAGACCAAAATGTGCATTAGAGAATATTCACGATTGTGTTTTTGTGATTGACAGTGTTAGCGCAACAATCATGGGCATGAGGCTGTTATCTGAAGGGGTTACATTAAAACACAACGGTTTTGTTTAGTGTTGAGAATCGAAATAGATGATTTATTAGATTTAATGTATGTTAAATGAAAAAAAAAAGACAGATGCTAATTTTCAAATTTATCTAAATTGAAGATAAAAGATGAATTCGTGGTGAAAGAATCTTTTAACACAAATTTTTTTTTTAATGATTTATCCGTTCCAGTTTAATTTAAAATACCAAATTAAAAACAAGACATGAGGGAGCCAAACCGCTGACTGGTCTTCTGCCTCCAGTTTTGCACGTGCTTTTGTTCTTTGATTTTTGCCGCACTCCGCGTTGGCGAGAGCAGTGGACCCAACAGAAACCAATGTCGGACCCGCAGGGTGGTGCCGTTGGCGTGCGGTCACGTGAAAGTTTTGCCACGCGTGACGCATACATCGCGACGGAGCAAACACCCCCAACACACCGGCACGTGTGCCGGACTTTAACAAGCGCGTGGTTTATTTTCCTTATCAATCGAAAACGAAAAATAATTGATAAAAAAACGACGAATCGTTTTGGACTGAGACAGTTACGGACGAAGCGCAGAGGTGGGGACACGTGTTGTGAAATTAGGTTTTACCTCTATGAACGCTTAATCAGCTTTTTTGTCTTTTGGTCTGGATGCTCCGCTTGGCGCAAACGTCATCGTTTTGGGGTCAACTTTATTTGCATGGATTAAAAATAAAATAAAAGCAAATACAAGTCCTCTCCCAAAATCTCTCTCGTTACAAATCCCAGACGTTCATGCTCTGCTTTCACTTCGCATTTTCCCGTCCGATTTCGACAGCGCTCTCCCCTCAGCCCCTTAACCCGACCCGATTAACGCCCGCCCCATAGATCCGATCCAATTCACCGATCCTCCACAAGTTCAAGTCCCCGGTCGACTCCAATCCCACTCCAAATTCTTCCGTCAAACTCCTTATTCTCGCCGGAGCTTCTCCCCCCAGCTTCTGAAGATTCGATTCTCACACTACTCCTCAGTTCTCAGCTCAATCTTAACAGCTGACGGCGTCGTTTCAGAACCAGCTAGCGAGGGGGTGCTTGATCGGAGATGACGTCGGGGACGCGATTGCCGACGTCGAAGGAGAGGGAAAACAACAAGAGGAGAGAGAGGAGGCGGAGGGCCATAGCGGCGAAGATATTTGCGGGCCTGAGGATGTATGGAAACTACAAGCTCCCCAAGCACTGCGACAACAATGAGGTCCTCAAGGCTCTCTGCGACGAGGCCGGTTGGACCGTCGAATTGGACGGTACCACTTACCGCAAGGTAAAAAAAAAACCAAAATTCCTTTCTTTTTAACCGCTGTTCAATTGTTAATTACCAGTATCCATTAAGTTTCTACCGCGATTGATTGATTAATACTAAATTCTGTAGAAAAACTCAATAAAAATTGGTAAATTTGAACGGCAGTTGTCGCTAAGCTCGAGAAAAATTGCTAACTCGAACGGTAGTTGCCGTTAAGCTTTTATACTCCGCCGACCGCGCATTTTAGCGGGATGTGCTAACGTGCGCGCGACGGAGCGGCGGAATGTTGATCAATGATCATCATGCAGGTGATCTATGAGGAAGTACGATCGCTCTGCTCTGAAGGAGCGATGTTGTAGTGGCGCATTTTAGCAGAAGTTGCTAACTAGCGCCGGGTTCACCGGCCCGTGTTGGCCGGGAAATTGCTACCGGCGCACGTTATCCGGGGTAACAGAATTCACCGTGTGGGGTTAGATTGGGTCACCGGCGTACGTTAGATATAGTCAGCCCTGTTCTTTTTCACTTTATCTTTTCTGCGAGATCGCTTTTTCGCGTGGGAGCACTAGATTCCCTTTCTCTTTCTCTATGCTTTTGTGTGTAGGGAGACTCTGCTGTCTGAAACCCCAGGGGAGCTACGTAGATCTCGAGGCGATGAAGATGCGCTTTACAAATTATTTTCAAACTTTACTGCCCAAAATGCCCACTTGCTTTGTATGCCATTTTCTGAATTTTTGATCTTTTACTTTGTTATGGGAAACAAAGGCAGAGCCTTTCTGAATTTGATCTTTTACTTTGTATGCCAGCTTGATTCCTCTACATATTATAAAACTTTTTATTACCTTAATATGATAATATCCTTCAATTAAATTGCTTGTTAGACAAGGTACCTTTTTTGACCACTTTGGTGCTATGGAATTCGCTGATTATTTGGAATCGAAAAGCCTGTGTCGAGTAATTTGCTCCGTATTTAGAATCACACCTTACCAGTGTAACTGACTTAGGTTACCATTCATCGAGAATATTGGTTAATGGTTAACTGAAGATGTCCCCTAAGATACAGTGTAGTGCTGTTGAAGTTTTCCCAATATGGTTCTGGTTCAAGTCAGCTGGTACTGGTGTTGTTATAAGAGATTATTAATTTGAATTAGGGTCGAATTTCCCTGAATTAATTTAATTTACATTCACACTTCCACATCTGCCTCTTGCAAGGTAAACGTGGTTGGAAAACTAGGTAAACGTGGTTGGAAGCTAGATTTCCCTGGTAATGGTATAGTTGACCGTTATACCTGAAAATCCGGGGCAACATTTTCCATGGGTATGCTCTCAGTTCTGTCTCCCTCACTCCCTCTGAAGGAGAAGTTACTTGGAATCAAGCTGCTATGCTAGCTAGCTCTTTGCAATCATTCTAGAACCATAATTTCACACCATTGCCAGCTTTTAGGACATGATAAATGATGAAATTATAGGACTGTAGTTGCTACTACCTAACCTGGCACCTCAATACATATGGCCCTTAGAATTTGATAAATTGACTGTTTGATAAGGTATTTTATCGTTAGTTTACATGACCACACACACACACATCCGTGCATTTTAAGATATGGACTTAGATTTAACGTTAAAACAGATGAGGGTTTTTCCATATTTGCTTTATTATCAGCCTAATTTTCTCTTAATAAAACTTTGACCATAGCTCACTTCCAGTTCCATTCATATTGTGGTTACTTTAGCATTATTAACTATTTTGTTTTTTGTTATGTGCCACTAATCATCTTCAATTATATGCAGGGATGCAAGCCGGTCGAACGTATGGAAGTGATGGCTGGATCCACAGTAGCTAGCCCGAGCTCGTCTTTCCACCCAAGTAATTGTGCTTCGTACAATCCTAGCCCAGGCTCTTCCTCCTTCCCAAGCCCAACATCATCTTCCTATGCTGCTAATCAAAATGCTGATAGCAGATCCCTTATCCCATGGCTCAGAAACCTCTCATCTGCATCCTCGTCAGCCTTCTCTTCCAAACTACCAAACCTCTACATCCACAGCGGCTCTATCAGTGCTCCTGTTACCCCTCCATTAAGCTCCCCAACTGCCAGGACGCCGAGAATGAGAACTGACTGGGATGACCAGTCTGCTCGCCCAGGTTGGGCTGCACAGAAATACCCCTTCCTGCCATCTTCTACTCCACCAAGCCCTGGACGGCAGATTGTTCCTGATCCAGAATGGTTTGCTGGGATTCCGATTCCCCATGGACCAACTTCTCCAACATTCAGCCTTGTCTCTTCAAACCCATTTGGGTTTAAGGACGAGGTTTCAGCCGGTGGTGGATCCCGCATGTGGACTCCAGGGCAAAGTGGGACTTGTTCTCCTGCCATTGCAGCTGGCTCCGATCACGCTGCAGACATCCCAATGTCTGAGGTGATTTCTGATGAGTTTGCATTTGGATGCAATACAACAGGGCTGGTTAAGGCATGGGAAGGAGAGAAGATTCACGAAGACTCTGGATCCGATGATCTGGAGCTCACTCTTGGGAGCTCAAGAACAAGGTGTGCTAGCTTAAACATTTGATTTGCAACATCAAGTGATTTTGTTCTGAATTGTTCGTTTGCTCACTTAAACCATGTTGTGTACAGGTAAAAGACTGCACAAAGAAGTGAACTTGAATCATGTT